TTGTATTATATTAAATATAATAATAAATATATATTATATTGTAATTATATATATTATATTATAGTATAATATAATATAGTCATAATTTTTAACTATTCACAGCAATTCAACTTCTTCTCTTCTGTTTGGATTGCGACTATTATCGATAAGTTCGCGGGTTTGTGAGAAGGCCGAGTTAGTAGATATTCTTAAAGGGGAACGAACGACTTAGGGTGCGTTTGGAATAAAGATCTGTGTCATGGTTCGGATCATGATTCGTGGTTCGCTACAATATTTTCTCTCATAGAAAACACACGTAAATCGAGAATGATTCTGAATTATGATTCTGAATCTATGAACCAAACGCCATCTTATTGTACACTTGTCGAAGAGATGACGCCATTCTTCTTTTCCTTTTTTTCTTTTATTTCAATTTGGAAAACCTGTTAGTTTATCAATCTATCCCAAAATCTTATGCTAATAAGAGGTGGGTCAACAATAATTTTATACTTTAACACTCCCCCTCACGCGTAGGCTGGACAATGGGCAATCGTGTGAGTAAATTAATTGAAAAGCCCAACATGTGAATATTTAAGCCCGAAATATATTAAAGACCCAATACATAATGACAATTTAAATGGGGATAAAGAGTGTAATTACAGGAGTTTGAATTTAGGGCCTCCTACTCTGATACCATGTTAGTTTACCAATTCATCCCAAAAGCTTAAACTAATAGAAGGTGGGCTAACAATAATTTTATACTTTAACAAAACCACGGTCCACTTAGACTTAACTGTGAGAAAACTCTTAGAGCACTTAAAATTTGAGAGCACATGTACTATCTTCATTTAGGCACGGTTACTAAAAATGCATCCTACCGATAGTTCAAAATAAGAGGGAGTATGGGAGAAGTTTCCTTATTTTATATATTTAAACTCAAATTATTAATTCAGTTATAATATTTTTTTGTTATAAAAAATTTAAAATTTAAATGTTGAAATTAAAAATCATGGTTTTAATATACATATAAACGGATTCTAACTTTTTCAAAGAATACTATATGTATAAACGGGTTTTAATATACATGACATCGTTCATTTTACTGATTCGAGTTTTCAGTTTTAAGTTTCTACAGTAAAAAGCTCTCAGAAAATGTCACATCTAACTTTTTCTGTTATAGTGAAAAGCTCTCAAAAAATATTACATCTTAGCTCGAATTAAAAACTCGAATTCGTGAAGTGAACGATGCCTAAAGTTTTTTTCCCATCCACGTTTGTTTCCTTTTCTCATTATGAGAAATTGAGAACAGACAATATAGAGTATTTAAAACATCTTTTTTCCTGCACGATTTTTTGTAATCTAATAAATTCTTGATTAGATGTTCTATAGCCACTTGTGAAGTGGCTATAGTTTGATAACTAATAATAAGGAAGAAAAAAAAAATCCTTGGTAGTCTCCAATCTTCAACTTAGGTGAAAACAACTAGTATGACTAAAAAAAAAAAAAAAAAGGAAGAAGAAAAAAAAGAAAAAAAAAAAAGAAAATTTTGAGGTTTCTCTATATTTTTGTTTGTGTCAAATTTATCTCTTTACTTCGACACAAATTCGAAATCATTCAACATTCACACTGAATACAACACGAACAGAATGGCGGCCATCAAACCAAGTAACAGATCCAAAATTATAGCCTTTAGGAGCCTCCTTGCCAAAAAATGAAATCTGGAAAGGAACCCTCTTCTGGACCTTGTTGAACACAATCTTATCCGGTGTAACTTTCACCACCAAGCCCTTCGGAGAATTAACGTTAGCGATGTACGTAGAGTTGGAGGGTCCTACATTTGTTACGGTCCTTTTGATGACTTTAGGCGCGGCTTCGTGTCGACTGAGCTTGCTAATAGAGATTGATGGATAGTTAACATTGGAGATTAGTTGTGCAATCGGGAGTTTTGGGCAACTGAACTTTGTGTTTGACATGGATCTTATGTTCTTCTCTGAATAGCCATAGTAACAGAGGAATTCAAGGTAGTTTTGTACGGTTGTCTCGAAGACTAGGCCCGGATTAAGAGCTTTGATCGGGTTTATTTCTCCAACTCCTGTCTCGTGTGGATTTGCTATGTATTTCGAGTTGTTTGTCACAGGCTTTCTCAAGTTGTTGTATACTGTTGCTGCAGGCCAACAAGAAAAAGGGTAAAGTTAGCCCCGTTCATTTCAACGATTCGAGTTTAGAATTCGAGTTTTGCTATAGTAAAAAGCTCTGAAAAACAGTCACATTTTACTTTTTTACTACAGTAAAAAACTCTCATATAAAGTCACATCTCTCTTCAACTTAGGTGAAAACAACTAGTATGACTAAAAAAAAAAAAAAAAAGGAAGAAGAAAAAAAAGAAAAAAAAAAAGAAAATTTTGAGGTTTCTCTATATTTTTGTTTGTGTCAAATTTATCTCTTTACTTCGACACAAATTCGAAATCATTCAACATTCACACTGAATACAACACGAACAGAATGGCGGCCATCAAACCAAGTAACAGATCCAAAATTATAGCCTTTAGGAGCCTCCTTGCCAAAAAATGAAATCTGGAAAGGAACCCTCTTCTGGACCTTGTTGAACACAATCTTATCCGGTGTAACTTTCACCACCAAGCCCTTCGGAGAATTAACGTTAGCGATGTACGTAGAGTTGGAGGGTCCTACATTTGTTACGGTCCTTTTGATGACTTTAGGCGCGGCTTCGTGTCGACTGAGCTTGCTAATAGAGATTGATGGATAGTTAACATTGGAGATTAGTTGTGCAATCGGGAGTTTTGGGCAACTGAACTTTGTGTTTGACATGGATCTTATGTTCTTCTCTGAATAGCCATAGTAACAGAGGAATTCAAGGTAGTTTTGTACGGTTGTCTCGAAGACTAGGCCCGGATTAAGAGCTTTGATCGGGTTTATTTCTCCAACTCCTGTCTCGTGTGGATTTGCTATGTATTTCGAGTTGTTTGTCACAGGCTTTCTCAAGTTGTTGTATACTGTTGCTGCAGGCCAACAAGAAAAAGGGTAAAGTTAGCCCCGTTCATTTCAACGATTCGAGTTTTGCTATAGTAAAAAGCTCTGAAAAACAGTCACATTTTACTTTTTTACTACAGTAAAAAACTCTCATATAAAGTCACATCTCAACTTGAATTAAAAACTTGAATCAGCGAACTAAACATGCCGTTAATCTACACATAAAAAATGTTAGGAGTTCTCTAGATAGATATCTCAAATCGTGACATTCAGTTTTGAAACATTACCTGAAAATACTATCGTAAAAAGGTTAAACTGTGATTAAGAATAGACATACTCCCGAGAAAACAAGTATTTTTCTTTTAACTTTAAAATTGTGTCCAAATAAAAATGAGAAAGGGACCATACCTTACTAATTAATAAGACACTAGCATGAGTCGTCAATCCTAGAGGAAATTAAGGTAATAATATACCTGTTGTCATAAGAGATGATCTGATCATGGAAGAAGTCCATCTGCGGCGCACTGATTTAACGAATGCAGCCGCTCCTGTTACATGTGGACAAGCCATTGATGTTCCAGATTTCATGGCAAAATCTGATGGCTCCATCCCGGTTGGAGCAGTCCCTGGTTCATTACTCTTGGGAATCACAGCAGCTAAAATGGCCACCCCTGGAGCCATTATGTCCGGCTGATGTTTTATGGGAAATTTTATCAGTATTTGTGTGAAAATGTTTCGAAGTATACGTTGAGTTCAAGAAGTGCAGGAGCATATTACACCAGAGAATAAAGAGACTCATATTAAACATGTATGAGACTGGTGTGCAAGTGAAAGAACTAATGACCTTGAGAATATTTTCTGTGAGCTGTGCAGGACCCCTCGATGAAAAATAGGCGACAACTGGTGCGGGTCTATATCTCAGAACTTCGACTGCTGGAAGGATTGCTGCTGTCGGCTTCCTGTTGTGCGAGCTTAGGAACGTGAGGATACGCACGCCAACGGTAAGGTAAATGAAGTATGTAGTTTATGTATGAAATTTTTGTTATAGAAACTATTAGCCAGTATTACGAACCTAATGTTGAATAATGAATAATAGTAAAGTTTCACGTAGTTCCGTTATTACATGTCTTGATGTTTGTATAGGAAATCTGGTTTTTGATAAATCATAAATGTCCTTGTTTAGGAATACTCTATGGGAAGAAGTTAGTTATTCTGTTAATTTAAAATATAAGAATGAAAATACTGAATTACATGATTAAAGAAAATGGAAATAACAAGATTTTTGCTAGTAAATGTAGACACAAATCTTACTTGGTAGAATTTAGGTAGTGAAGAATCTGAGACCCTGCAACACTTCCAACTTCTACAAATGAGAAAACGCCTGAATCAAAAGGAACTCCTTTCTCATCTTCATCAATCAAAATCATTCCTTTTGCCTTGGCGTCTTCGACAACTAGTTTCTTGATTCGTCTTGTAACAGAGGGGTCATCGTTAGCGCAGACAACAATCTTGCCTGCAACCTTTTTAGGATCCAATGATCCTGGATAGCAGTTTCTGCAACAGGACATTAGAAGGCAACGCATTTCATGCATCGGCACAAACAATGTTTCACATTAGATATTTACATAAAATTGTGAATCTGAATCACCTTGCTTCAGATGCAGAAATGATCCTGGATAGCAGTTTCTGCAACAGGACATTAGAAGGCAACGCATATCATGCATCGGCACAAACAATGTTTCACATTAGATATTTACATAAAATTGTGAATCTGAATCACCTTGCTTCAGATGCAGGAGTAAAATTGGCTGTCACGTCCTTTCCGAAAACAAGTGGATATGCCTTTGAGCGCGAGTGGTTTGAGAAATTAATGCTAGATCCCTATGCAAACAGAGATAGATGAGAAAAAAAATGTGGGTAACCCAATGTGACCTTACATCCATTAAGGTTTCCATCAAATTTTTGAGTTTCATGTGATAATTTCTTGCATAACACAAAATGTCAACTCCAAGGTGTACGGTCCAAAGACGTCACATACTTGGTGCCTATGTTTATACTTGATATGAAAGGATTAAGGGTTAAGCTTTTTTAACCCCCGAACTATAGGCCATATCCAATTTGGTCCTTGATTTTTAAAAATCCCAAAATGAATCCACGATTTACCAAATCCTTCCAAATTAGTCTTTTCATCTATCCGACTGTTAAAATCTAAATAGAATGAGGCGTGACTTCCTTCTAATGCAAAATTAACTACCGCTAAACAGCACACGGTCCTCATGTCGCTTTTCTTGTCGATATTTTCACAGTTGGATAAACATAATGACTAATTTGTGACATTTTGATAGATCAAGGACTTGTTTTGAGTCGGTTTAAAAATCATGGTCCAAAATGGAATTTGGCCTGGAGTTAGAGGGCTAAAAATGATAATACTCACCAGCGGTGTAGACCTGATGTGAGTACTAAAAAAGCTTAGTTCAATCACACATAACCGCGCGAAAGCATCTGGATTGCGATTGCACTAAAAAGAGCACCATAATTTTGTTGACAGAAGTAGCCACAGAGTCTACAAGTATGTTAAGAGGCTTACTTTGAGGGCTTTCCCATTTCCAAGCAGCACTGTTGACTGAAAATCTCTGTCAATACTTGAAGCTGCAACGGTCAATACCCACGGAGCAGTGTTGACAACAGTGTAAGCATCCGGTCCATCATTCCCTGCGGAGCAAATGACCATGACCCCCATTTGCTCGGCGTGGAATGCTCCGATGGCTATCGGGTCATTCAGGTAATCAGATTGGAAGAGTGAGTTCATTCCAATGGAAATGGAGATCATGTCAACTCCATCCTTGATGGCATCGTCGATCGCCTTCAAGATGGTGGCGCCCGAGCAGCCCTCGGGCGAGCATGCTTTGTAGCTCGCGATCCTAGCAGAAGGAGAGCCGCCTCTTGCCATCCCTTTGGCTAAGCCGTAGTAACTGGCGTTGGCTACTCTCACACCTGCTGCAGTGGACGCCGTGTGCGTTCCATGCCCCACGGTATCCCTTGGAGAGCCGTTGCTTTTTGCTTCCTGACTCTGGTTGCCGCTTGACATCAGTGGGGCATTGTAGTATCTTGCACCTATCAACTTCCTTAAAACAGCACAATGGACTGTAAGAACTTGGTACTATTAACATTTGTCAATTGTCACTTTTATTTTTCTGTCTTCATGCAGTACAATAACGCTTAAAGAACATTAAATGCGCCTACTTGGTTTGTTAAATTTCGAATTTATAAGAGTGTGTTTGGTAGATGCATCCAGAACCATGATTCTGGATCATGGTTCAGAATCAGTGTTTGTTTACAGTGATTTTGAATATTGATTCAGAATAGTGTTTAGTTTGGATGATTCTGAATCATGATTTAGAATCTGATATGATGTTTTAAATTAGCTTAAATCATACTTCTAAAACCACTCCCCTCTTAATTCAAGGTGATTCAAACCCCTGATTCTAAATCATGGTTTCAGAATCATGATTTGAACCAAAAATAATGAATCATGGAAAACTGGTTTTAGAATCGTGATTAGAATTGCTATGATTTAAATTCTCGTACCAAACGAACCCTAAGTGACGCTGACTAACCACCCGAATGGCATTTGTTCATCAAGATTTTACCAATGGATGTGATAGTTGTATGGTAACAAAATTTGTAAATTGGATGATAGTGATTGATATAAAATCTGATCAAGAAACGATCGCATCAATTAACAAGATTTATTTGCATTGTTTTGTGATACGTGCAAAAGTAGCGTTTGTTAAATCATATGTTGTTCCCCAAAAAAACAAAACAAAAATCATATGTTGTAAATGTCCTTAAGTTTTTTAAATTAAACAAAAATTCAGTTTTTAAAGTAGTGATTGTCAATTAATTAAGTTTTTTAAATCAATTGATAATTTATCAAAAATACTGTTAAAGATTTACACAGTCATTTTTTTTTTAGGAAAGAAACTTTCTTAATCAAACAATATTGAGGACATCTCTACCACCGCAATTTTTCAATAATATTTTGCCAAAAGTGTAAAGCAAAAGAGAATGCATGGTGGAGAAAATTCCGGTCACTTGGTGAAAGAAGCTGTGAGAATACAAATTGGCTGTAGTATTTGTTGTTTCTTCTTATCTAAATTAGGGAAGAAATTGTCACCTATTACAATGCGATTTTTTGAAGTCGAATCCCTCCATGCAAGCCCCTTTCCATCTGGAAGGGACTGGCCCCATTCCCACATCATGAAAACTTGGAGACTCCGGCCATATCCCTGCAGTAAAAGTTTTTTTTCTTATTTTTTTTCTTATTTTTAGAAATCATCTATATATATATAAGAATTACATTGTCATTTTTTATAACTTAACATACACGACTTTACATATAAATATACACGATTTATATGTAAATATACACGATTTATATGTAAATATACACAATTTATATAAAATTATACAACTGTCGTTCCAGTCAGACACTTTCTAAGTGTTTAACTAGAGACCTTACCTATATTATATATATATATATATATGCATATAAATCATATATTAGCAAATTACGTGTTAAAGAGATACTGGCTTAGGTTTTATAGCAGTGTTTTTGGAGCAAAGTCATGTGGTGATTTGTTTTTAAGATGTGATTTTTTAAATTAATTTTTTTATTAATTTCGGGAATTTTAAATACTCATTAAGAACAAAATATCCATAAATAAGTTAGTTGCAAAAATTATCCCTCTACTTTTATTTTCTCCGTAAAAAACTTTTCGTTTTAGTTGTACTTCGACGCTATGTAATATATATATAAATTTTTTTTTCTTTCTTTTTTTTTTTTTTTTTGAAAATTCTTGCCCGCCAACGGTGTTGGTCAGAATTGAGACATGAAGGGTAGGATTGTCGAGAAATTAGGTGTTAACTTGGACGGGAGCAAGAATTGTTAATTTTCAAAAACAAACATATTTTCTAAAAACAGTTGAAAACAGAAGAAGAGTTTTCGCAATTAAGACTTTATGTAAATATAATAGATTATCTTCCTAGAAAATTCAAATTTTTGGGCATAATTTGTCCCTAAATTATGGTATCTTGATACTTTAGTTCCATTTTTTTTTGTTAGATTTACTCCATGAACTATATTTATTTATTGCATTTTTTATTGATTAAAGATTTAAGAAATTTAACAAGAGTAATAATAATCCTATTGCAAAATAACTCAAAATTTTACAGAACTATTTGCATTAAAAGTATAATATTCTACTTTAAAAGATTTTTAATAGTTGTAAAACTTGCATTCCATGTATTATCTTTGTAAAATTTCAAACTACTACACGATATAACCGCATAGTTTTCTTTGTTAAATAAACTTGTCCTCGATTTTATGACATGGATTAAAATTGTCAAAAAAAAAAACAAAAGTTTAGAAACTAAATATATATATATATATATATATAAATTAAAAGGTTCAAGGAGTGTTGACTGTTGTGATGGGCATAGTTAAAAAACTAAGAGCATGTTCATTTTACCGATTCAAGTTTAGAATTTGAGTTTTATTATAGTAAAAAACTCTTAGAAACAGTCACATTTAATTTTTTTGGTACAGTAAAAAACTCACATAAAGTTATATCTTAACTCGAATTAAAAATTCGAATCAACGAACTAAACGGACCCATTAATGTTAATACCCGGAATTAAAATAGGGATTACTATATATTACCTGTGTCAATAATTCCAATTATGACGTCACTGGACAAATGCTTATCAGAAGTCCATGTTGATAGCCTGCCTGCTTTTCCTTCCAAGAAATCCCACGAACGTGTTGTGTGGAGTTGAAGCATTGTGTCGGGCAATACCGTTACAACTTCCTCATGATCTGCTTCACCAAAATATCATTCAATTTATGGTTCATATTTTTTGTCCTTCAAATTAATTATTGCTTAGTAAGAAGATGGAAATAAAACTAAGAAGATAAGTGCTGCTATATAATCGGGATAGCTTTTTAGGTATATTATTTATCACTGATAGATACTTTTTGAGATATTGAATTACATTAAAATTGCACGAATTTAAAAGTAAAAATACCTATTAAAAGTAAGTTCAACAATTTTGTCTAAAAAATATATTTAAGAAACAGTTTTGGTTTTAATTATTTTCTTTTAGATTGTTGTCATATCATATCTTTCTAATAATTATAGTAATTATCAACATTTATAATAGTGCATCTTATAATTACTTGTGGTATCTATGATAATTATTTATTATAATTCTTAACGTGATAATGACATAAAAGAATATTAAATCCAATGCTATTTTTTAAAAAAAATTTATCAGTGCTATAAAAAGAATTAATCCTTTGTAATATTAACGTTTTAGTCAAAAGAATTTCTTATAGAACTAAGACTACAAAATAATCCTACAGTTTTTCTAGAAAAAAAAAATAACAATAATCCTTTAGTTTTGAGCTAGCTTGAAGTTGGAATTTCACACACCAGGAGAGCTCAGGTAGATCTATAAATTACTCAACAAATGGTAGATCTATAAATTAAATCTTCTTCATAGGTAAACTATAATTATTTGCCTGTTAATTTATCAAATAAGTATCACTTGTTTTTCTTTTCTAAACTATATGAAATAGGGGATCTAAGTTTCGTATAAACATCTTGCTAAAAAACATTATATTATCTTGAAGCATGTAGTTATAATTTAGTGGTAAATTTTTTATTTTGACATAAGATATAGAGTTCAAATCTCGTGACTTTGAAAGTAAAAATAAATAAATAAAAAGATGAAAAAGAAATAATTATATCTTGATTTTGTTTTTCTTAAAGGATAATGTTTCTGCTTCTTTTTGCCTTAAAAAAAAAACAGAGAGAGATGGTTTTGCATTTGTTTTTTATTTATTTTTTAAATATCCAAAATACCTTTTGTATTTGAAAAAAAAAACAAGTGGTACCTTTCCCAATCTATAATACATATTCTTTTAAATATAACCAAATATTAAATAAAAAATTTAAAATATCCAAATAAACATTTCAAGTACCTTTTCCAATCTATAATAAACATTCTTTTAAATATGAATTAAAAAATTAAATAAAAAATTTTAAATATCCAAATAAACATTTCAATTAAAGAAATATTTCAATTATTTTGAGGTTTTAAAGATGGTGCAATAATGTTTTCAATTGTATTTGATACATGTTGAGAAAACTGATCTTGGCATTTTAAAAAATTTATTTATTTCAGAGTGTGCTTGATTGGACAGAGGGAGAAGGGTAGAAGGAGATGGCTAATCACATGTTTGGTTTGAGGGAGAGGAGAAGGGAGAGTAGATTTGGAGGGATGTGCTCTCCCTCAAAACCTACCAAATTGGATCTTTCTATCATTGCAAGGATTCAAAAAATCCATCAAGTTTAATATTTAAAAGACTGTTTTATCGTCTAAACTAATTATTAACAAATAGTTTAAATGAAAAATATAGTAATTTAAAAACTAAATATTATTCATCATTTCAACTTTTCTTCCATCCTACCAAATAACATGAGAGATTATTATAATCCTTTGCATCCCTCCAACTCTCTCCATACTTACTACTCTATATCCCTCTAACCAAACGGATCCTTAGACTATGTTTGGTTGGAAGGTTCATTTCTACTCTCCATTCCTCTAATCAAACGGACCCCTAGACGATGTTTGGTCAAAAGGAGAGATGGACGGATGGAAAGAGGTGGAGAGAGAGGGTTAATCACTTGTTTAGTTAGAGGGATAGGAGAGGTGGAGGGATGTGCTCTCCTTCATGGCCAACTAAATTGGATCCTCTCATCAATGTAAAGATTCAAACAATCCATCAAGTTTAATATTAAAAATATTGTTTTACCCTCTAAACAAATTATTAACAAATATATTAAATGGACAGTATAATAATTTAACAAATAATTATTATTCATACTTTCGACTCTCCATCCATCCCATTAAATAACATAAAAGATTACTATAATCATCTTTATTTTTTATATTCTCCATCCCTCCAACCACGCGTATCTTTAAGGGGTGTTTTGAGACTAATTGTGCAAACACGGGGGATGTTTTGGCATGTTTTTATAAGCACAATGGGTGTTTTAGGCATTTAGATTATGAAAAGGATAAAGGTGATATTTAAACTAAATAAACGGTTTTCGATATATTTTCTTATTTTTATTTTCTTTAATAACTTCAGACGTTTTGCTTAATTTTATATTTTACCGGTCCAAAAAATTGCATTGTCCACTTTGGGATTCGAGAGAAACTGATAATAAAAGTTGAGATTCAGTTTCAGGAAAACAAGTCAACAGGTATACATCGCATGATCGTATATTTTTATTTATTATTATTCATTAGACACCATGTTCAAGCAAACAAATACGCAAAACCGGAAGACGTCATTTTTACAGTATCATTTCCAAAAATCTTAAAATAATTACTTTATGTTAGTTATTGTTAAAAAAACGGCTACGTTTTAAATGTTAATATTGTTACTGAAACCACCTCCAAGTTCCTCCCCATGTGAAATCAGCTTGGTAAAATGGGGGCAAAAAAAAAAAAGATAACCAAAAAATATTTATAAAAAAAAAAAAAAAAAAAAATTTACAATCAGCTATCTTATTTTTTCGACAGCAAATCAGCTCGCTTACCATTCCGTAGACACGAACCTTCCAAAAGCGTTTTTTAATATAAATATTTATAAAAGAAAATTACTAAATTACCCTTCAGTTCTCTATTTTTTTTTCAATTGCTAAGAAAAGTTCTATATTACCATTCCCAGCAAAAAAAAAAAAAAAAAAGTCATTCTATTATCCCTAAAGTATTTCTAAATTGAAGGGAATGAAATGCCAAAAGTAGAATTGGGACATATTGAAAAACATATATTTGATGAAGAGTTAAAAATAAATAAAATCAATAAATACTTGAATAGACAAAAAAGAGAAAAATAAAAAATAAAAGACACAAGCAGACAGAGAGAGAGACAAGAGAAACAAAAAGTACCGGATAGAACAGAAGCTTCAAGCTCTGTAAGCATGGCAGAGAATCCTCTAAAAGCATGATTGTAATTGTGTATTATAGACATTCTCTCATAATTTTCTTTGCTGCAAAAATAATATACCGAAAATACATATAATAACATAACAACAATAATTATGACAAACAAAACGAAAATAATAAGAGTTATATTTGTGTTATTGTATATATATCCACTGTATATTATTGAACCTTGGTTTTATAATGGAAGACAATAATTGCAGATAAGCAGATTCTCCAACTTTAGCATCATCTCCGTTTCCATTCAGCGATGGATCTGAAGCTCCCATATAAACAACATAATGCTGCCAAAACAAAAAACAAAAGATAAAGCTAAAAAATGTTCTCCACCGACAGTTTTGATTGAAAGTCTCATTCATTTTTTATATCTCACTCTTGTTGCTGAATTGCATCATTTTCTCGGCAACCAAACAAGAAAAAGGAAATTTTGATGGGAACCCATTTGGAGAATTTACCTTCAGAACATCATGATTTGATGCAGAGGCCCAAGAAACGTTGATGAGAAGCCATGGCAGAGAGAGAAAAGAGAGTAATATATGAAAGTTAGTCATATATATATATATCTGTACGTATTCAACAGATTTATATAGTGGTAAGGGCTCTTCGGCTTTGTATATAATGGGATGAAGAAAGGATGAAGAAGAAGAAGATGGGTGTGGAATGTTTTGGGTTATGCAACCAACAAATATTTATAGGTAGCTCTGTTTTGGAGTGAGAGTAAATTGACTCGCCAACATGACCACGAGGGAAAAAGAAAAAGAAAAAAGAAAAGGATAGTTGATTATTCTTTTGCTCTATATGAATCACAATCATTTCTTGTTAATTATATACCACTATTTTGTTATACTCTTTAGTACAAATATATGTATATCTATTGTAGATGCTACTTTATCACTTATTTTAGTGTAATTATTGAAATAGTTACTTATAATATATTATTATTAAGTCTGTCATGTTCAATGAAGGGCCTTTACAACACATCTCATTCATGTGACTACTAATTGAGTACTAAGTACTAACTAAAAAGTAATCAAACTTCTATTGCATTATCTCATTTGAGCATCGTTCATGCATGAAGTGCTATAGTTTAATATTTGCTTTAATATTATAGGATTTGGTATTTGAGTACTATTTAGACCAGTCACATCCATTATAATTATTCCTTAAAACATAATGAGTAGGATTAATTTTTTATGTACTAAAGTATATTTGGATCAACAACTTTATCTGAATTTTTGAGGAAAAAAAAGAAGTTTTCCAAGTTAGACATTTCTTCTCCTCCCACACATGAAGGAAAAGTAGGATGGCGACAAAGTTTCTCTACTAATTTTTTTCTATTGCAAACTAAACTAATGTTCATATCATATTGGCTCCATAGTTTTCCCAAAAAGAGTGTGTTAGTCCTTTATATACTTTTTTTTTTTTTTTGTAAAAAGGAAAAAAAAATAAAGGTGTGAAAGGTGTGAAGCTTGAACTATACATTTTGTGGTGAAATCAGGTATAAATTTAATGATGTGCTTAGCAAAAAAATATATATATATCATATCAATTAACAAATTTACTAAGTAGAAAGCCAACTAAAAAGGAAATAGGAAACCATGGTTTTTTGCACTTTTAAGATTAGTCTTTTTCTTTAGAGTTCAGTTCACTCATTAGGTCATTAGTGGTGGGAATGGAGATAATAGGATCATTTGTTTATGTATTTCTCTCTTGACCGGCAGATTAGTGACTACTAACTAGTAACTAGTAATGGAAGAATCATATCATGAACTTGAATTGCAAGTAAACTCATTTACCTTTTGCTACAAAAGAGCAGGGTGGAAGAGTTATGTACACATCAATGTCCATGTGCAATTTTTATTTTCTTTGTTCCCTTTATTCTCCTTCCTTTGCCAAATATATAGTTTCTCTCTCTTCACACAATTTTTTTTTCTTTTTTTGTTTTAGTTTATGTGTCTGCTTTATTGTTGGTTTTGCCTTTTGTGATCTTGTGGCATTTAGACTAATGAATGTAGTGATACACAGGCTAGCTACCAAGTATGAAAGCCCCAAAACCTTGCTTTTTCAAAGTTCATAGGTTTAATATTCCTTGCTCTAGTGAGCAGCTTCCTATGACTCCAAGCACAAACACTTCACCAAAATTGAGTATAGCAATAAGAAATGCAAAAGTGGACATCTAAGAGCAGTACTTGACTGGCATTGTTTTGAGAATCTAGTAACTAGGTTAGGTTTACAAGTCTTGATGTTTTGAACCGAACGTTGCCTTGTGAATCAAGAGATGGTAAAAAAAAAAAAAAATGAAGAAAGCGCGTTTGGAACTCGTTCCAAAATGATTTTGTTTTTTGTATGAAAATGAAAACGTTTTCAATCTCAGACATAAATCATTTTTGAAAATGCGTTTGGTAATTTTATCAAGAGATTATTTTCAGTATAAAAAAACCTCATTAATGTCTCTCTCTCTTTCTCTCTGCTCGAGAGAGGAGGAGAAAATGAAAACAAAAAATGAAAAACGACTAAAAGTCATTTTTCATTTCTCTCTCATTTTACACTAAACTAAAAAATCGTTTTCATTTCTGACTCTTGTCTTTATTGCGCTAAACGCCGTTTTAGAAATGTTGCCATTTTTTCTTTCTCAAAAAATGTGAAAAATAAAAACGGAATCAATTCTAAACACGGAGTTTTGACGTGGTTTAACAATGTAGCTATAAATAGAGAAAGAGATAAATCACTAGTGAAAAAAAAAAACTCTGAATACTGATTACAAACACCAAATCCTGTAACTACCCCAGAAAAATAGTCCACACTCCACAATCGATTTAATTTCCAAATAGAAACAAATCAGATTGAATTCTACAAAATCGGACACAATCTCTGGACAGAAATCAGAGACGTTTGATTCGTGGATTAGAATCATGTGATTAGAATCATTTTCGATTTACGTGTATTTTTTATGAGAGTGAACCATGAACCATGATTCAAATCATGGTTTGAATCCTCCAATCAAACATCCCTATCCGTCGGTATAAAGTTAAAGAATACATCTCTGGCCAAACAAATCTCTTCATCCCATCTTCAGTTTAACAAGAATGCTCCAATAAAATAAACTAAAAAAAATTAAATTACCTAAGCATCCAAGATGATCCATTTGAAACGAAGATAAACAATAATTGAATAACCCAAAATGCCTTCTTCTGAATGTTGTAGCATATATATATATATATATATATATGTGTGTGTGTGTGCATTGATTAAATACACCAATTTGAAGAATATGTGGAGTCTCATACTCATTCTATCATTTTCCACGTTTTCATCCTCTTGGAGACACAGCTTTCTGCTTCAATTACTTGGTTGCTCTGTATGCGTCATGCGCTGAAGTCACCATATAAAGCCTACATCATCGTCACCATCTAAAGCAACAACACAATGTGGCATTACAATCTTTTTCGATTACCTAATTTTGTTCCATTTCCTAAAGTTAACAATAATTAAGGTGGGAATACTTTTTTGTCATATAAGTTTTCATTTTGGTCAGTGGAGTATGAACAATTATTACTTTTTTTACTTTGTTGCCAGTATTAATTAAAATTGATTGCCAATAATGTTGGCAGTTTTCATTTGTGTCAACATTCGATAGGTTTTCTTAGAAAGATGCATTCACATGTAATTCTGATGTGGTTAGAAAGAGTCCGATTTCACCTTAATTTCTTTGTGTGTGTATAGGGTATAGTTTTAATAGTTATTCTAATATTTATTGATCAGTGAGTATCACCATTAATTATAAAAAAAATGATTTAATAGTTTTAATAAATTGAGTAGTTGAAGATTAAATTATTATCATATTATATTATTAATTTTATATATGTGATAGGTAACCCTAATAAAAACATAATCATTAAAGACTTGCTTATATATATAAATATATATATAATGTCAACATTAAATTATTTCTTTCAATTGGGTGTTGGCTCTTATATTAATAGCTTCCACATATATACTCAGTTGTCAAGTACATTCTTTGTATATTGGAATGAGAAACAAACAAATTGCAAGTAGGATATTTATTAGATAAATAAATTGACACGTTGTTTTCATTGAAAGCAAAGATTCTTCCTTGTTTGGTTCCTATATTACTATCCAAATCTTATGGAGAGAAAAAAATTACATTCTCAATCATATATATATATATATATATATATTAAGGGATGCTTTTTAGAGCTCAACATTTTGCCCTTCAATTTAAAGGTGGAGGTTAAGAAAACTAATGGAGTTTTCACAATAATGCTATGTTATTGGACTCCATGAATATTTGCAATTAAAATTTCCTCCATTTGTACGTTAATGTTCTTACTATTTTTTTTTCCCTCACATTTCTTTTTGTGTTTGACCGAAGTACCCTACTACAGTGTTGAACAAGTCAAGTTGAAGTCGCCCATTGAGTGACTGTTAGTCACCCTTCCGGCGCTACTTGCTTTAGTCGCTTAGTGGGGACCATCAGTACCTGGAGTCATCCAATGAGTGACTGTCGATCATCGACATTGGCCACTTTAGTTGGTGCCAAATTGTCCCAGTTACCCAATGAATTACTACAACTTAACTTACCGTGAACTAGAGATTTTAACTATAGTCTTAAAAACTATATCCTCCACTCCACGTATGAATAACTTCATATACCTAATTCAAGGTTATTAATTTAGTTTTGATTGCTTTATATTTTGCTCTAGAAGTAACACAATCATTTCATGAATACAAATATACAATTAGGGGTTTCCACGGATAGGAATATGCGGATTATGGGTCAATTCGCAATTCAATTCAAAGTTATTAGATTGGGAAAAATTCCAATCTATTGTCAATCTAAAACTATTGAATTTCGCGGATTGAATTTACAGATCATATGAGATTTGAACCTTTAAAGTTAAGTAGTACATTCTATACAACCCAATAAACAAACATAAAATAAAGTTTTCATCATTCATTAACAATATTCTAAAGTTTAAAGTTTGACACTAAACTTGGATAATCAGAAAACAAATTACAATATTACATATATATAAAGATTTTTTTTTTCAAAAGATTAAAAACTTCCACTAATTAAAGCAATACAACGATAGATCATAATCAAATTTGTCGAATAACCCCCCAGCAGTATACGTCTTAAAATCAAGTACTTCACGAAACACCAACTTCCAGTACTAAATGTATTACACATAAATCACTCAATACAACATATATATGTATATATATATATATATATTAATTTGCCTAACCGCAACACACTTCCAAATTAGTCAAGATTCACAGTAAACACAACACGAACAGAACGCCGATCATCAAACCAAGTAATAGATCCGTAGTTGTAGCCACTAGCAGCCTCCTTATTACCGAAAAACGACACCTCAAAAGGAGCTCTCTTCAGGCCCTTTGTGAACACAATCTTGTCCGGAATAACCTTCACAACTAAGCCCTTGGGAGATTGAACCTTAGCAATGTATGCGGAGTTGGAGGGTCCCACATTAGTGACAGTTCTTTGTATGACTTTGGATTGGTTTCTGCGGAGCTTGCTGATAGAAATGGAGGGGTAATTAATGTTGGAGATTAGTTCTTTGTTAGAATGTTCGGGACATTTGAACTTCGTGTTTGACGCCACGCTTCTTATGTCCTTTTGCGAATAGCCATAGTAACAAAGGAATTGAAGATAGTCTTGTGTTGTCGTTTCGAAGACTAGCCCTGGATTTAGAGCCTTAATTGGGTTCATTTCTCCAGATCCTGCCTCGTGTGGATTTGCTATGTGGCTTGAGCTGTTTGTTAATACCTTCCTCCTGTTGTCGTATGTCTTTGCTAAAAATAATATATATGCATTGGAGGAAGAGATGTCAAGTACATTAATTTGCCTTGTTTTATTGACACTAGGGTCTCGTTCGCTTCACGAATTCGGGTTTTTAATTCGAGTTGAGATGTGATATTTTCTTAGAGCTTTTAACTATAACAGAAAAAATTAGATGTGACATTTTCTTATAACTTTTAACTGTAGAAACCTTAAACTAAAAATTCAAATCTGTAAAATGAACGATGCCTAGAACAATCTAATGTATCACCATAAACAATCATCACCGCTAGTTTTTAACCAATTACAAACTTGTATTCAAGCATAAGATCCACAAGTTAGGCACATGAACCGACCATGCATGCATACATTTGTTTTTTTCTTTTTTTCTTTTTTTTTAATCTTCAGAATGTTGGGTAAAAATGGACGTACGTATTTTATATAAAAATTGATCCAATTTTTAAGTTATTTTGAGAAGCTGAATTTTTTTAGGGCCAATTTGGTAGTGCTGTAGATTTTAAAAAAATTGATGTTAGTTGTGTTAAAAAAAAATAACTGTTATAAAAAACAGTTGAGTGTTTAGAAAACTGTAGTTATACAAGTATTAATTCTAAGGGTATTATGGGTATTATGAAAGTTTCATTAATTATACTTTAAAGTGATTGTCACACAATTTAAAAGTTAAAATTGTTTTTAAACTGCTTCTGATTTTGACCGTAAATTCTTCAAAAAATTCTTTAAGAATCACTTTTTATGGTTTTTACTAAACACAAATTTCAACTGTGGATGGCTAGAAAATTAATTTTGGGCTCCAAGAATCACTACCAAACATACCCTTAGTCTCAACTGCATTTGTGCTTATGCGATAGGTAAAAATTAATTAACACCATAATCTCTTTTTTGGTTGTTAATGTGCGTATAATTGAAAAAGAAGTACCGGTGGTCATAAGCGCGGATTTGATCATAGAAGAAGTCCATCGACGGCGAACTGACTTAACGAATGCAGCAGCCCCGGAAACATGCGGACAAGACATTGATGTTCCAGATCTCATAGAAAACTTGGACAGTTTCTTCCCAACTGCTTCTTTAATCTTTGGAACCATGGCAGCTAAAATGTTCACTCCGGGAGCCATTATATCCGGCTAAACAACTCAATACACCATAATTAGTAATTAATATCAGTTGATGTCGGATTAAAATTGTAAAACATATACATACATAT